TATATATATATATATATATATATATATATATATATATAAACATACCCTATCGCCTTTAGCTCCTGCTACTCCGGGTGGACCAGTTGGTCCATCGCTTCCCTGAAAAAAAATATTTATGAAAAAATATCATTTTAGGCATACTTAACATATTAAAAAAAATACGAATATAAGTTCGATGTAAAAAGAAAACATTGTTGAAGTGTTAATAATAGGCATCATAGATTGATATTTCTATTGCTGATGTAGTGCACTTTAGACTGTTACATACACACGATGCATTACTTATATAACACACAAAGTTAATAGAATTAGATGAAACTCCATATTGTAAATTTAAAATTTGAATTATTATATGTCGTCATAAATAAGCATAGGTTAGACATATCCGTATACCTGTAAGCCACGTTCACCACGGCTACCCTGTTCGCCTCGAGGCCCTTGAAGGCCCTAAAGACAAAAATAAAATACAGTATTTTAACCAACAAGTTATAATAAATATGTGACATTGCATGTTGAAGATATTGAGACGAACCTATTTCGTACATGCAATATTAATATAATTAATTATTGTAAACTATTTTCAGTAAAAATATACAATTCTTACTTGTGGTCCTGGAGGTCCAGGTTGCCCTTGAGGTCCAGGGGCTCCAACTGGTCCCTATAAAAAAAAAAGATTGAAAAAAAAATTCTAAATCTCCAATGAAATAATGATATCAAATTATGATAATATATTTTATGATCGATAGAGTTACCCCCCCCCCCGCAAGCACTATACTATGCTTTTAAAATGTTTTAGCATAGCTTACAAAGACGTCCCAAGGTCCCAAGTTTCTTGTGAGTCCTGGGAATCCCACCGGAAATAGGCACGGTCTCATCATGGAGGAATAACATTTTATTCTTCTATGGTCTCCGTACTCTCAGAAACTAACCCATCTTCACAAATTAATGATGTCTGCATGTCATGCGTCACTGTGTACAATCTTTTTTGTTTTTATATGGTTTTTTTTAATCTAAGATATTTTCCCACGAAAGCCAGCTGAGCCAAGCAGCGGATCCAAGAATAAACCCGCCTGCATTTCTGAATAGGCCTATCTACTTTATTACAATATTGACTAGTTTCAAAAGTTAAAATATGTATTTTACCGCTTCTCCTTTATCACCACGAGATCCTCTTACTCCTTGTACTCCTGCCGGTCCCTTGATTTAAGAAAATGAAATACTTTCCATAAAATTCACAAACGTTATTATTATTATTATTATTAAAAAGTATTCTAAAAGGTAATACATTTACGAAATCAATTATAAAATGAATATAATGTGATAAGGCATTATAACAATACAAGATACAAGATATTTTTTTGTGTCCAAAATAACACGCCAATTGGATACAGTAATGAAATAACAATAAAAAGTAAAGGTAGGCCAGTATTCATTACTAAACGCAAGGGTGAGCTGTTAGCCCGTAGTAATAAGTCTCGGCATTGTGTGGTACGATGGCCAGTTCCTCTCCATACCGCTGTTTTCCTCCCCAGTATTGAACGCGGTGGTACCGTACCATTTATACTCCTGGGTTCATGGAGAGAGACAAACGTAGGTAAAGTGTCTTGTCCAAAAACACGAGCGAAATGCACAGCAAATGTTCGAACCCCTGATTTCTAGGTTGAGAGGCCAAAGTGCAACCGCTGCGCCAACCTCTCCCGCCAAGAAAATAGGAATTAGAGTGATAAAAACTATTATTTAAAAAAAAAGATTAATGTCAGTAACTGTTTATTAAAATCTATGTTTTCTATGAATACTGTATACCGGTGTACATGTGTACATGGAGATCTGAATAAATTGCCGCCTCATTGGATATCGTGCGGGTATTATTTGTGTTCAGCTCCGAAACCTAGAAATACCGGGATGGTGTCCTGCGGGGATAGTTTTTTACCAAAAGTAGTTAAGTGTTGCTTAAGATAGTTAACAAGCGTAGCTTAAGTTAGTGAGGTCTGTCCTGGGCACGATACTAAGCCCCATCCAGTCGGGGCGTCGGCGACTAATCCGACAACCTCTCTCAGATGTGTCTTAGTGGCTGCTGAGGTGAGGGTGCCATGGTCATCGAGCAGCATGAAAAAGCTACAGCTGAACAAAGGGCAGATGAGGTCTTCAGAGTCAACGGCCAACCATAACTTAGTTTAAGGAATAGGAGTATATTTTGCCACATATTATTTTGATATTTATATCTTTAAACTTATTTTCATTGTGATGCGCACAGAGGTCATGACAATACGCGCCTTCTGATTCCACCAATATTATTATTATTATTATTATTATTATTATTATTATTCTGCACGTTAATATCGTGTAATATAATGAAACATGAAACACAGATATACTATAATTAAAAATTAAGTGAAATAACTTACCCTCAAGCCACCCTGTCCTTGCTCACCCTGTGAACCTCTTGGTCCACGGTCACCCTGAAAGTGTATTTTTATGTGCTTATTCAAAGAAACATCATGAACATAACCATCAGCAATGATTTTATAGAAAATCTATTATCTATTCCCAATTGACTCTTTATCAAGCAACAACTACAATTGTATGTTGTGTTTGTACGTAGGATGGTAAATAACTCAAACAATTTTGCAGGTGTGTGCTGCTAGACATATAGGGTAACTTTATATTGCCCAAATTTTACATCTGTTATTATTATTTTCTTACACTGAAAAAAAAATTATGGAGTATAATGTTATTACCTGTAACAAATTTCAGAATACTTAAGTAGGCTATATTAACCACATGCATGATGATGGATTTGTAAATAGTACCGTACTCTTTGCACATGCCCTTGCAAACAAATGTATTTTTCCAGAAAAAAAAATATTATTGATGATTGATTTTAATCATAGAGAGTAAGTTAATTATTCTTCTGCCAAAATCCATAGATAATTTTGTTAATATTATTTACATTTACGTCAGTTACATGCAAAAAAACTACACAAGCCTTCTGTAAAGGTTGGTAGTGTAAGAGTGCGGTGACAGAACACAGTCACCAACTCATAAGTTTACCTATTCACTTGCAACGCCCATAATGTAAATGGAACCAACGGTGCGCTATAGAAAGAGGAAAACAATGTTCTCCATGAATCAGAGAACAAACTGTGACTACACACTTCAAGTCAATTGATATAACGCTTATATTCTGCCATCGCACTCCAATTAGAACTAACAAATACGAAACAAAATGTTACCTTTGGACCTCTTTCACCTACAGCTCCTTCATTACCCATTGGGCCTGGATCACCCTGACAAAATGAATAATTATTCCATTTGTTAAAGATTAAGAAAACGCTAAGTACAAGAAAGCGGTATAGATTGGTACATCATTTGATTCCATTTTCTTACATACATTATATATATATATATATATACATATATATATATATATATATATATATATAGCAATATGTTTGCATATCAATAGTGTGACGTCATACTAAGAATTTTTAGTCTATTGGCGCTTGGAATCACCACGCTTATTATCTTGTGCCCTATTTGTAGGGATTTGTAGAAAAATAGCGGAAGTTTATACTATATTATATACATCAACTAGTTAATCATCATCAATATTATCATCATTATTATTATTCTAAATTCTATTATTATTATTAATATTATTATTATTATTATATCATTTCGATAACAATATCATATAAGCTTTAGGCCTATCACTTGCGCAAACTTATATGTAAATTACAAACCTGTGGGCCTTGTGGACCTGGATAACCTCTTGGGCCAGCAACACCCTTTAAAAAAAAAAGTATAACAAATAATATGATTAATCAAATATTTAAGCATGAACAATCCTTGTAATTCATTATATATACTTACTATGTAGCAAATATTGTGCTACTGTAAAGAGTAAATTTAATGATATTTTGTAAAATATTGTACATAGAGCTATTGTGAAAGCATACAGGCAAGTAACTATTTACGCCAATTTCTATATAATAATAATACAAAACAGCTCATTTACTATAGGGTACCTGTGCTTCAGTATAGACCTAAATTGATCATATACTGTAACAATCATAGGATAATTACCCCGTGGTGGACAGTTAACATAAATATTATCAGTATAGTTACAGAGGACTAACAAACTATAATGTAACTTAAACTTAGTTACTTTAATTATTGCAATTAATAATAATAATGCAGACCAATGATAAAACTTACGGTCAGAACTCCATCCGAGTTTTCTGCTAGCGCAGCCAATGCATCTGGTCCAATCTATTTCAATACAATTAAGAACAATTGATTATAAGGGTTCCGGCCCGTTGCCACCCGATTATATATATTTAGAAGTAAAGTATTTGGGATGGAACGTATACGGGCAAAACACCATTCCTTCTAGAAGAGATTATGCAACGCGCGGGTAAAAGATCAGTATATTTTAAATATCAATGAGCATATTTAATAATAATTTATAAATAATAATTCAAAGCATTTAAATGCATGACATACTAACCCATTCATCATCATAGGACACTAGGCTATCTATCTATAAATTGTAAAAATCTTTTTTACAACGAAGCACGAGATTCCATTAAAAACCTACCGTATAATGAGACAATATGTTACATGGGTTATGCTTTCTAAGATTGAATATTAAAGCGGTCTCGAGAATTAGAAGGGTATCGAAGAGGAGGGTTAACTGCATCCAAGTACTGTATATCAAAAGTGAACAACATGATTGTTTTAAGATGTTCACACTTTTAAAATATATTTTTTACAAAACTTACTACACTTCCTGGAGGTCCCGGTGGTCCTTGTCTCCCTTCTGCCCCTGGTAATCCCGCTGGCCCTCTGGATCCTACTGGTCCAGGTGTGCCCGGTTTACCCTTAAAAAGATAAATAGCAAATATATGCAAAATCTATGTCATCTTAAATAAATACACAGATTAACATTAACATTAATAATTGACTTACAACATAATACTAATACGTATTATAAGTCAATCGTGACGTCATCACTGTAACTCCCAATGTTATTTTCCTATCCCTAACAGTGCTCTAATTTTTAATTAATGCATGGCTTGCTTTATCTTAGCTTAGATTAATGCATTCAAAAAATTCCTTTGGGCCTTGCAGGCCCTCAGGATATTTTTTCTTGCATTAATCTTACTAACCTTTGTTAATAATTTTCACATAATGTAAGCTAAGCAAGTATTCTAATTGCTTATTATTTCCACAAGTAATTGGTTTCAAAAAAAGCTGTTTGTAATTTATAAGATCCATTCATAGATTTTTCTGGATTTTACTAAATTTGCATTTATATAAGTAATTTTCCTTCCTACTGGTATTCCTGGTTTTCCTTCTGCTCCTTGAATTCCTTGATCTCCTCTTGCACCCTATATAGAATAAATACCGTAATAAACATGTTTAAATCAATATATTATTCCATAAGTATGCAAGTACAATTTAATATAATAAAAGACTTCAATACAATAAAAATGGATCAACTAGTAGTCTAAGGCCAGCTTAAAATTTTCGCCTTGATGCCACTGAGGAGATGTGAGAATGCGAAGGAGCATTCCACAAGAAATAAGCAATGAAATATAAATGCCTGTATACTCAATGATGCGTGTTGGGAGGATTAGCCAAAATATAATCATACAATACAGAATGTTGGTTGATCTTACCGGCAATCCGTTCAATCCCGGAAGACCAATGGGTCCCATGTCACCTTTCAACCCAGTTTGGATCAGTTCCTTTAATTAAGAAAAATCTTGAAATTAATTTTCATTTTGATTACTGTAATTCATCTCAAATCACCTAATTATATTTAACTGTTCTCTATCCCTCTTTATTTATAATAATAATAATAATAATAATAATAATAATAATAATAATAATAATAACAATAATAATAATAATAATAATAATAATAGGCCTGATAGTGATTGATAATAGTTAATGTATCAATAATGATGGTAATGATGATAATTTTGATAATGATGATGCGAATGATGCATGATGATGATGATGAAAAACAATAAAAGTGAATAGTGACCCAAATACATTCTATTAGAAAAAACTATACACCAGATCACTATGACCTCAACAGATTTATTTCAAATTGGTAATTAATAATAATAATATTAATAATAATAATAATAATAATAATAAACAAATCTATGAGGCTGCCATAATACTTACTTACGTACAAATTGTCTAAAATAGTAGAAGTGACAGAAATACTACGAAAATAATGACAACAAATGCATGTATAAATATCTTACGTCAATAGTTGGGAGAACACCTGGGGCTCCTGGTTGTCCTGGGGCGCCGGGTGGACCAGCTTCACCCTGTAAAGTATGATAAAACACATGTTAACCTAAGTAAGACAATAAAATGACAATAGAACACTAACTCTCAGCATCGGTAATGTAAATATTATGCCTTTAACGAGATTCTAAAAGGTTGTGTACGTTAAAACAATTTTCATTAATTTCTTCTAATTTCTAATTTACCTTTTCTCCATCAACACCATTAATTCCGTCATAACCCCTAGATGTGTATAAGAGACAGTATATACACACTCTGCAGAAGTTTGTGTTGCCAAAACTAGTTAATGTTAAATGTTACCGTATCTCCTCTGACTCCAGGTGCTCCAGCTGGACCCTTTCACAGAGAAATGAAAAAAAAAACCCGGAAATAAATTACTTATAAGCATCAAGTTGTTCCATTATATAATATGATTATATAATGGAACAACTTGATGTTCCATTATATAATTATATAATATGATTATCAGCAACAACGGACTACTACTGATCAACCGATCGTATAATATCTATCGTCATCTATATATTAAGAAACTTAACTTTAACAAATTTTAAAATGATATACTTACCCTTGGTCCTCTGGAACCTTGTGGGCCCTGTTAAGAAATAACAAATAACAATGATAACAACAGTTCCAACAATTCCAACAACAGTTCCAACAATTAATGTTAGCACTAATATTTACGTTCTTTATTTTTTAATAGTTCATCCTTTATTCATCTTTAAAAATGTATAATGATACAAGGATTAAAATACTAAGAATATACAATTTCAGTATAAGAAAAAAAATAATAAGATAAATTTAAAAAAAACAAGGCTCTAGGTTACAGTTTTAAAGACATTAAACTATACAAGAGGGAGAAGAAAAAAATGAAATAAAAGGGGGAAAAGCTATTAAAAAAGAAGCAAGCGCTCTTAAAAAACAATTAGACCCAGGCCCAATGTTAAAGATTTCATTAAAAAGGACTAGAGAGCTCATCAACAGGTGTAAGTCACCTCATCTCCCAGGTTGGGCTCTATTTGGAATTCCAGATAATATAACTGGATATGAGGGCTGATTCACTAAGCTTTCTGAGTACCATCTTGGTTTTGCTGATTTTAAAAAAGCTTTTAAGGCGCTGGGCGTTTTCATTAGTAATGAGCCCTCTTGACCCAATTTCGACGCAAAACAGTTTGCTACAGTAACATTTTGATTGGAGATCATTAATGAGATGGTCATATTTCTCAGATTTATGAATATGAGCTTTAACAATATTGGGTTAAAAAGGTACACTTAACTCAAAGATATCAATATTTTTGTCAAACCTATTGACCAAAACGATATCTGGCTTAAGGTTAGTACAAAGTATATCGGGTGGAATGGTTCCTCCAGCAATAGAAAGACCCTCAACGTCCTCAGAGACCTTCCCCGCCAGCCGACATTCACTGATGAATGCCAACAAGCGGTGGATGATCGAATTGTGACGCCATGTAAATCTACCCTGATCCAGATACACTTTGCACGATGAGTTAAGGACGTGATTCAAAGTCGCTCTATTACCACAGTGTTTGCAGATATCGGTAGTACGTTTACCCCAGGTTTTAAGGTCACTCATTGTAGGCAAGAAATCGATTGAGGCTCGAACCGCGAAGCTGAGGACTTTCCGTGGCATATCGTAGATGACCGATCGCCATGTTAAGTCGCATGATTCAAGTTCAATTAATTTAAGAACTTCACCATGCTTAACAAGGGGTTTGATATAATCGGACCATAATTTCTTACGATCTTCAAGAACTGCGTGTTGATGACTGCTTTGATTTGAGACCATTGCTTAGGAGAGTCCTCAGCTTCTGGGTTTGCGGGTGATAGGTACAATTCCCATTGCTTCGAACCATTTCTTGCCATTTTCCGAACCCACGTACTCTCTCTAGTCAATTTGCACTTCGGTGCATGGATTACCCGACAGTCAGCTTTCAGAATACATCGAGCGTAGGCAAGACTATGAGACTCCAAGTTAATATCGGAGATCCGAGGGATGGTAAGGTCATCAGGACTGTGGATGAACGCAGGGGTTGCCCCCGTAATAGAAATTCCCAGACAAGTTTTCAGTGCATTAGTGTTAATGTGGTCGAGTTGCTGAAGCTGACAGTCGGATAACTCATGGACAGTAAGAAGGTATCTTAATGAAGGCAAAGCATATTGTATTAAGTTTAAATTTGTTCCTAACTAGTGACAGATTGATATTATTAATAATTCTAATTAGTTTGTCTATAATAAAATCCAGAGTATCCTTAGTTTTTCCACTAAAGTATATCAAACGTCCAAGGAATTTCTCAGGAGCATCTTTTAGGGTTTTTAATTTAGTGTCTCTTAGAGAGAAAACACATTCGTCGAGTTTACCGCTTCTAACTGAAAGGCTTTTACACTTCACTGATTTAAGCTTAAGTCCTATAAATTGGGTTATATTAGAAACATTATTCGTCAGTGATTGATGTTTTCGTCGTCCGCAAATGGCAGAGTAATATACCTATTATTAACAAAATCAATAGACCTTCGGTAGGCCTACACCATGTGTAAACATTGTTATTATTATTATTATTATTATTATTATTATTATTATTATTATTATTATTATTATTATTATTATTATTATTATTTATTTACAGTATTTTATATCATTGTATGCGTTTTTTGTAATAAATACATTCAAAACATATAATAAACTTTATTAGGCACGTGTAATTAAGGTGACTATTACTCACGGGGGTGCCAGATAAACCTGGGTCGCCTCTTTCACCCGATGGGCCTGTTGGTCCTCTGAAACCTTGTGCACCAGGAGGCCCCTAAATGAAGTCAAAATATTGATGTTAAACATACGTTATTGAATATTATTACTGATTGAAAGTACCACCGTTCATTGGAGAATCTTAGTTCAGGAATTGAGGGAAGTCAACAGGAATCAGTCACTTGTTTAGGAAATCTATGTCACTGATACAAAATGATTATCAAAAGAATATGAATCATATTTATGTAGTAAGATGAATGTTCCCCAACTACGCTCGACATTCATCACCACACAGACCAGCTCCTCAACAGACCGTCTCACATCCATATAATTTCTGGGCCCCATTTGCTGAACCTCGATTAGCTGACGAGAACTGAAGTCCCAACATAGATCAGAGGGAAAATGGAGATTAGGTCTTCATCATTATCAAAATATATGCACTAATAGAAGAAGACTTACCGGTGGACCAGCCGGACATTGGTCAGGACACGGCTCATCACTTTGCTCTACCTACAAAGATATCAATCAATATTCAGTATATGTCGAACTTAAAGTAGCCCTACCAACGGATAGACCAAATACTGTAAGTAGTATTAATATTCTACTAATTAAAACGTCACAGCCAACTACGTATACTCAGGTAGACATGTTAGTTGTCATTGCACGGTAGCTAGGTTTACAGTTAACTACTCAAATGATTTTGATTTCTCAAAATTGAGATGTAAAATTGAGGACAGGAACCAACAGATTCTAAGATAGGGAGTGCGAATGCGATATAAACAAATGACTACTGTAAAACTTTTAGAAAGACATCATAAACTAAATGACTGAATATAAAACAATGCCAAGTCTATTACTACTGCATACAAAACACAGCATTCCAGTAAATAACTGTCTCTAATTCATCATCTAATTAAAATATTTAGCCTAAAATACTACAAATTCTAAAACAGGGAATGATAATACATTACACTATAACAACATTTTACCGTATGGCGTTGTAAATTCATCACAAACTACAACAATAGTGAGAATGCCATTGCTGCTACTACTACTACTACTACTACTACTACTACTACTACTACTGTGAATAAACACAGCATTCTACTAAATAAACCTTAGATATTCAACTATTTATGAGTCAGTTATCTTGAAGGTATATTAAGTTTATACCTCCAACTACATCATTAACTACAGAAAGTAATCTAAAGTTAGAAAACACACAGTTAGAATCTTGTCTACCAGTTCGTTGCAGTTGTCTCGTCCTCCTACTCCTGGGTGAAACTTCGGGTTGCAATGCATCATCATCCATTGAAGCAACAACTAAAAAAAACACATCATTTAATATGTTTTGTTTAAAATGTCCATCAGTGGCGTAACAAAAGGCCCGAGGCCCATGACTAAGGCTTTCACGTGCCTTCAACCCTGGCGGCGGGGTTCCGGTAGAGCACAGTGGGGCGTATTTAATTTTTGTTTACACGTTATTCTTTCTCAAAGTTCGGCACTGTCGATTTGGGGCAAACAATTCTGATGAAAATCCCAGGCCCTATTAAGGTCTTTAGCCAGTGAAAGCTCATAGCTGTTACGCCACTATATTAATAATATTTAAAAAAATGTTATTTATTTAAAAAAAAAAACATATGTGCTGGCTTATTAATTCATTGTATATTATGCAATACTATAAGAAATATTATCTTTATACAAAATAATGAACTTATAATCAAATTTATAATAGCATAATTAGTATATACCTCCACTTGTTCCTCGTCTTCAGTATTCTTGCCAATACTGACTGATCCACTGACGTCACTGTTCAATGTGCCCTCGTAACTGCCTTTAGCGATAGATATACAATCTACGTACACTGTAATGGCCTTTTCTCGCTCGTCCACACTCAGGTGTAACTTGTGCCATTTAAAGTCGAATAAATCAGCAATATCCCTACCAAACCAACAATCAAGTGTTCATATCAGATACTTTAACAATTTAATGTCAATATACGCTTACCGCAATACTTGGTGGGTCCCAGCAAGAACAACACGTTATTACAAATTTCGTGAACGTTGTTGTCAGGTTATGTCAGAAAAAATGTTAACACAACACAACGCTGCAGCAACGTTTCCAATGTTATTTAGTAGAAAATTACGTTACGAATTATGGTTCTACATAAAAAAAAACCAAACTGCACAGTTTTCATAGCGTAAAATAAGCTTGGACAGGTATTATCGTTATGAACTTCAGTTAGGTCTTATAACTTCACTTTAAACAACTAACACACTGCAATAAACAGTTAATAAAGTATTCGAACCATATTATCGGGATCTTTGATTTTAGTTTCATTATAAAATGATTATCACAAAGGTTTGTAATTTAATATGCCAAATACCAATTGTGTTCATTAATGAAAAAATAATTGTTGAGAATTGTTTTTAATTACAGGCCTACAGTTATAATATTATCCACTCCTCTACAACTGAAAAGCTTAGTATTAATGTATTATCACCTTCCAATAAATATAACGTGAAAAAAGGAAGTAACCTCGGGAACCAACTAAAGGAAAGGGTTTGATTAGGGAAATTAGTTATCGTATATAGTTACATGGCATAGCGGGAAAAGGATGCCAGTTAGTATATATTCATTAATTATTGGTATTCCAAGTAAATAATATTTTATATTCCTCTTATATAAGATTATACTTCAATCCAATTAGCGATAAAACTAATAATTATATCAAAAAAGGAAGTAAAGGTATACAGCAGGTACCCAAAAAGCGAGTTGTTAGGATCATGTAAATATAATAACTTTAACAGACTTTCACATTAGTCAAAACATGCTCAGGATAACTCATTATACAAAGAATTTAATTAAATGAAGGTACAACAACGATGAACCTGCACAGCAATTGTCACAGTTAAAAGTTTCCTTCCTTCTTCTGTCCCATACGGGTCTGACTGGATTGCTGTTCCAGATTATTCTCTTTGCTGTCTTATAGACGGAGATTAAGTCCGAGTGTGGCATAACTGCACACTATATAGCTTGGGGCTGACCTCATGATTCCAGGTGCAACCATAAGAATTGTTCAATTGATGTAGTTCCCCGTCAAACCCCAATCTCAGAAGCTGCTCTTAATTGTACCATGTAGACCACATGTGTTAACAAAGTCATGATTGAATTAATCGACAGTAGTATGGTGAATACATTCGGATCTGTTATGTTAGCAGGGGACTTTGTAAATTATCAGGACTGACGAGTCCACTGACTCAGGTGACCGAGCTGCACTTTCTCCTACTCCTTCTGATGGAATCCAACAAATAGTAAAAAAACCAACAAAGGTGAATAAATCCTCGACCTTATTATTATTGATCTACTCTCATGCCTAAATAATATGCAGAATATTGATGATGATGATGATGATGATGATGATGATGATACCTACAACGAATTAAACATATTATATCCATACCGACGATAAACAAACTTAAATATAACTTCAACATCAAAGCAAATCTCTGACAGAAAGCTAAGAACAATACAAAATACACACATGTAAATGTCCAACTGATTTTCACCCTCTATTTCTACCCCCTCCATTTAAAATGCGTCATGCCACTCCAAGCACATCTATGCCCACTCATGCACTCTCTCCGTTCGATACAGAGAACTCTTCATAGGAGCTTCACCAGATTTGGAACTGTCTTCCAGATACTGTATTCAGTGTTATATCGATTGCAGAAATGCATGGTTTCGAACTGTCGAGTACATAGGCTATGTTCTCACACGGCTGCTAACGGTTAACAGGATCCGGATCCTGCTAACCGTTAGCTGCCGTGCGTCCATACGAGAAAATCCCGATTCGGTTACCAAAAATATAATGATCGAATCACTGGCCAAAAAGAAATTTGAAATTATAAACACGTACGTGTGATTGGCTGATGATAAAAACGCGCTCAACTTGCTAACCGATAGCGCTTGCTAACCGTTAGCGGTATCCGGATACTGCTAACGGTTAGCGCTAACCGATCGGGTGTTCTCACGCAGGTGCTAACGGTTAGCTCCCGATCCGGATACTAGGGCTCTCGTGAGAACTAAGCTACAATTACCTACTAAAGTATTCAAGTTAAGTAAACAGTATATCAGAAACACAAACAAGCACAGCAAACTACTGGAGAACAACATTACCTTTATACTGATTTTTGTTTATAGTTTGTTTCCCAGCGAACTATTGATCCATTGAGATAATTTGCACCTGATACCAGTATTATTTGGAAGTGTACATACTTTATATATAGATATATCATTTACGAAAGTTATATAGGCCTGCATTGTTCTCTGTATAAGAATCACACCAAATCATAATTGTATATGACACCGACACCGTTTAAGTCGTACTATATCTGCACCTGAATGCATTGTATTTGTTTTTTTTAATGATTTTACTATTCATTAAAGGTTTAAAGAAATGTTAAATGGTTAAATGTCTGTCATCGTTTGTTATTTCAACAACTACCATAACAATGTTGGGTGGATTATTAAAGCTATGTATGATCTTGGTTTTGTAGTCTGTAATTTGAAGATGGGAAAACCTCCTTTCTTATTATAACTTCAGTCTGTATTAGTGTTCAATAGTTGGGAGGAATTACAACTATTTGAATAGCCTGCCTGCACTTGTTTACGAATTGATAGTACAGAACATTCGTTGTTATAATATTAATTCAAACGTTTGTAAACGCATTTTACAGTTATTTGTGCCTGTAATTAAAAAAAAAACAACACTCGGAATACAGGCTTAAATATTGGATATATATAGCATGCACCTAGGCTATTTTTCAAGATATGGTTAATATGAAGTTTTATTTTGCAGTTATGTATGATAAATTACAAGGAACATTTACTTTACAAAAAAGCATTGAAATATTGTGACTATTTTTTTTAATTTGGCTATATATTTAGATTATTATATTAGGTATATGTACCGTATTAATAAATATACTACTTTCGTAACCAGAACAAATATCAAAACTTTAATAACATTTTTAAGGTCTAAATATGTCACAATCTGTGTTGAAAAAAAAACACAATCACTCATTAACAACCTTATAAATATGTTCATTGATATAATGATAATATATAAGAAGCAAGATGCATCATTAAAGCAGGGGGAGGGGTTCCGGTAATTGGAATAACCTGTAGCACTTACGCCTCGTGGACAATTTTCTCTTGTCGGGAAGTCTCAGCCCTTTTACTACTGTAAATAGATGTCACATATGTCGTCAACAAACGTATCAGTTCATTTCGTTTTTTATTTGTGCTATAATCTCAATATAAAGTTATATTCTTACATTGACAAAACATAATATGCCTGATAACCTCACAATAAACACGTCATTTGCACTTACAATCTTCTGGAGTAAAAGAAGTGTAAAGTAATATGCATTACGAAATTCAAGGTTTAGAAATACACTATGGATATTCTTCCGACATGTAAGATAGCAAGACTGAAGTGTAAGGTTAGGCTCAAGCCAACTCCACCAATCAACACCTCGGATTAAAGTAAGGTTGTCGGAACAATATTCACGGCCTTAGAAATATCCATGAATTCGTTTATTAAGAGTTATTTTGTCTGTATGGTGTACTGCACACCTCAATACATTCTTGGTAAGGAGGACTGCACATTACACATACACAATTTGATTCTATCACAGTGAAGTTTACAAAAACATGTTTAAAATAATAAGACGTGTCACCAGTTATTAGTAGATTTAAAGTTCGTATAAAAATATGTTTACATTTTTTTAGTATTAATTTCATTGCGTAATAGTTTGATGTTTGATGATTTGAGGGG